GGGGGGGGGGTCTGAGCATTTGGGAGGCAGGAAAGCCCCCTGCAACCATCATCATAGTACATTAGCCGTGTCCATTATTGGTGGGGTGAGAATTTGGAAGACAGGAAAGCCCTCTGCAACCATCTTCTGACATGCACATTCATATTCAGCACAGGTCAGGCCAGCTCCACCTTAGTAGAAGAGCCAGGTTATCATTATTTATCACCTGGGGGGGGGCAGAAAACCGATGAATTATACCCCCCTCTGCCACGTAGACCTTGGTCCCCTAGTCTGATGGTTCTAAAAATGGCCATATACAGGTGAAACTCGAATATTTAGAATATCGTGCAAAGTTCATTTATTTCACTAAGGCAACTTAAAAGGTGAAACTAATATATGAGATAGACTCATTACATGCAAAGCAAGATAACTCAAGCTGTGATTTGTCATAATTGTGATGATTATGGCTTACAGCTCATGAAAACCCCAAGAACCCCAAATCCACAACCTCAAAAAAGTAGATTATTACATGCAATCAATAAAACAAGGATTGTACATAGAACAATATCGGACCTCTGAAAAGTAGAAGCATGCATATGTACACAGTACTTGGTTTGGGCCCCTTTTGCAGCACTTACTGCAATTACTTTTGCACGATATTCTAATTATTCGAGTTTCACCTGTAGTTACATAGTCGGGTTGAAAAAAGACACAAGTGCATAGAGTTCAACTTATAGAGATACGGAGTAAAAAAACAAGAAAAGCCTAAACAGAACGCTATGCCCACACTTGATCCAGAGGAAGGAAAAAAATATAAAAAAATGTTTTCTTGTTCGGATCATCAGCTGAATGAGAGAAACCCACTTGACGGCCCCATCCATGCTAAACGGCATGGATGAAGAGGTTTCGGCATCGCGGAGAACTGTTTGGCTGATTATTTTGTGCTCGGCTCCTTCAATTCCTCCAATCAAACTTTGTGGAGCCGACAGAGCCAATTTGAATTCCGGAGAAATCGGACGACATTTGAGCTGTGTATTTGACTGCCTTTACGCTATTAGGGGGATGTAGACGTAAGATGACGGTTGGCCAACCTTGTAAGGGTTTGGTGGGAGATGGCAGTGGTCGTTGTGTCCATGGCCACCTGCAGAGTTCAGCTGTCATATCGCTGATTGGCCATCTTGGATTCTGCTGGCTGATCCGTTTTTCTTATGAATGAGGAGCTGTGTGGTTTCTCAAACCCCCATGTGAGCCCCAATGCTGAGAGAATGTAAACACTTCTATGTCCACCTTAAATCATAGAAAGGTTCATGAAGATGCCCGTGATCGTTGTGTCCATGGCCACAAAGTTCAGTACTCGGCTCACAGATCACTGATTGGCTTTGTTGAATAAGTCTGGCTGATCCGTCGCCATTTGCTAAGGCAATGCAATCTCTTTATGAACGTGAGAATGGGGTGCCACCAGATGTAGAAGAGTCCAAAGCGGTCTTATGGATAGAAATTCAACAGCTTCATCATTGATGGATGACTTTGGACCCCTCTACATCTGGTGGCTCTCATGGTTTTGCATCAATTATAATTCTCTAAGGCCCCCTTCAGTTTGGGATCATATATGGTGGGAGTGCTGCCACAGACAATCTGTTGAGTTCTGTGAAAGAAACATTTATTGAAATTGTTGGACACCAACAATAAATGATTACGCCACTTATCCCTTTTAAGATAAACCTGAGATGATCGTTGGCCAATCTTGGAAGGGTATGGAAGCAGATGACTATGGTTATTGTGTCTGTGGTCACGTTCAGGACTCAGCTCATAGATCACTGATTGGCCTTATAAGATACTTTGTTCTTCCTTTTTTTTTTTTCTTCTGAAATAGGACCACAGATGAGCTGTCTGGGTACCCCCTTCTCTGCACAGATGTAATTGTGACTACTTGCCATACGCTGCTCAAATTTCAACCCAGTCAGTAAGACTTCTAACTCTGATGAAATTTGAGTTGTGGATGGCCTGCCGGCACAAAAGTCAATTCATCTGTCAGCGTTTGTTGAAGGAGCTGGGTCAAACCGTGACCACAGGCAATCAACTACAGCCACTATCTGTGTATTCTGCCAGTGTTGGGTGCCGGTTGTCAGAGTACAATAGCCGACAGTGGAGATCCCTCCATTTGACACTGGTTTACATGGAAATCGATATTTCTCATCGTGTATGGCCAGCTTTAGGCAGTGCAGGTCTATGTGGTTTATGAGCCTTTTTATGCTTTAAGGTGGACATAGATGTGAGACGTGGCCAATCTTGGAAAGGTTTATTGGGAGATGACCATGGTCTGTGTGCAGCTCTGAAACTAGGTGGAACAAACATTTAAAGTGGACTTCACGGAGCAGCTCTAAAACTAGGTGGACCAAACATTTAAAGTGGACTTCACGGTGCAGCTCTGAAACTAGGAGGACCAAACAAAGTGGATGTCTCAGGGCAGCTCTGAAACTAGGTGGACCAAACATTAAAGTGGACTTAAGGGCACAGCTCTGAAACTAGGTGGACCAAATGTTAAAGCAACCATCTTGTTGATGAGAGATGGTGTGATATAAAATGACAGAAATAATTGGTTTGATCAGTGACAGGTTCTTGGGGGTGGGGTTGTTGGTTTAGCTCAGAGTGCAGGGACAAAGGCTCTTACAAAGGCAAGAATTAGCGAAGACGTGAATAAAAGGGACAAATAAAATTGCAACCCCTCTATGAAGTATTGCAAAGGCTTTTTTTTTTTCTCTCCTGAACATCGCTCATTAGAAATAAATGGACACTTTTTTACTACTGTGTACATCTTTGTGGATGACCAATAGCAACGCTTGCAAAGTGCCATTTTAACACGATGGCTAAGCAAGGGAGGTATGTGAAGTTGCTGGACTTGTGGGAACCTTTCAGAATGAATATGGAGATCTCCATTTCCTTTATTGGCATGCATGAAAGGTATACTGCTTTATTAGTAAAATAACAAACAAGAGTCCTTCCATGGATACTGTGCAGAATGCCAGATATGATTCTTTATTTTTTTTTCAGGTTATATATTATTGAAATGGTCTGTTGCAATCCTACAGTGGGTCTACAAGCTAATTGAAATATGGAGCTTCTGTTTATGTTGCTGTTCAGAGGAACCTCCAACAGCGTCTACATACAACATAGTACTCCCAGGATTCTTTTAATTTTTAGGTCCCCCCAACCCATTAAAAAAAAATTAAAACAGTGCCGATCCGATCTTCACTTGTCGACACCCCAGTGCTGTCCCCTACTTCCATCTCAGCCCAGTTAAAGAGGTCCTCTTCTGTGTCTTTCTGCCTTGAAGAAGACCTGTTGAAGATTTCCTGTGAGCCCATTGCAACATTAGGTAGCCTGGGCTCGCACTGCTCCAGGACTTGGTGGCAGGACTACGTGAGCAACGCTCAGTCCTGGAATAATGCCTTCTGATGACGGAAGTTGAACAGAAACCTCCTTTTGATAATGGATTACAAGACTTCAAGAAAAGAAAACTTATGTATTGGTTTAAAAAGTGTACCAGGGGACTGGTGGTTGCATGCCTACAGTTCTGCTTTAAATACTTAAAGGTTAGATAAGGGAAGTGCCTAACTGGTTACAAAAAAAAAACCTAGAACTAGTAGAAGGGAAACCATGACATTCATAGACACAAAGTGACTACAACCTATGAATGCATGTCCTGCTAAATTTCAGGATTGTCCTCATTCAATAAGAGCAACCTCCCTTTAAATCAGAGGTAGACCAGTTAATATGGATTTCGGGAGCCAGTCTGTCCAATCCAGAAGCCGGCTCCATTCACAATGGAGAGAACCTCAAATGTTGGGTGCAATCTGTAGTTTTCAAGAAGCATTGGGGACCTGAGATATGGCCATCCATGCTTCAAATGATAGAGTCTCCAACCCCCGAAGTGACCACCTTCCACAGTAGCTTGAAAAAGGAAGGGTTGTGCTAAACTAGTTCAAGAATAAGGTTCCTTTTTGGTTGGTCTTTGGCTCACAGGCCCTAATACATAACAAACAGACAGCAAAATTGCCTGGGGTGTTCTAGCAGGAAAGCAGACTGTGTACACGCATGCTGCACAGTTTCATTGGGTGACAACTGATCTATGGCTGCAGGGGTAGCTTACTTCAGTTGGTGTGGAACTACAAGTCCCATGAGGCATTACAGGACTCTTGAGAGCCACAGGCATGACTCGCAGGGGCATGTTGCCTTTTGGAGTTTCAGCACAGCTGGAGTGCCGAGATGGCCTACTAAGGTATTTGGTGGAATGTGACATTTCAGAATATCAAAGCCTCTTGAACTGGACCTCTTGAGCTAAGCATGTCACATTGTCATTTGTAAAGGGGCTAAAATGAACAAGGACAAACCACTGTAATCATCAGCTGAGCCATCTTCTAAAGTACATCAATACCGGGTAGGTTATATATAATTAGGCTTTGGTGACGTACAGTGATATTAGAGTCACCCCACATCCCCCCCCCGGTCCTCATCAGTACAAGAAGTGTAGACAGTCATCAACAAACAACGGCAGCTGCAAAGTGCCTTCTATGGAGGGCCAGTAATGACAGCAGCTGAATGAATTCAGAAGGTAACAGCCTTCCCCAATATTTACCCTGCTGAATTATTCCTGACACATCTAGAAATGAGAAATACATTCTCCCTAGGTTTCTGACTTGGTGTTGAAGCAATGTTAACCATGTTTATAGACTGCATTTGGTCATATTTAATGCACTACTGTGAAATAATGAAGGTAAGCATGGAGGTCAACATTACAATTTGACCAAATACTGTACATAAACGTGGCTAATAAACGTGGTGTAGTGATGCACCAATGCTGTTTTTTCGGTATCGAGTACCAATAATTTTTTTTTTGGTATTTGTCAATACCAAATACAGATACCGGAAGTCCAATTAAGGAAGCTGGGCGGCGTGCATTGAGTTTTTGCCTGGCTTCCCGATCACCTGGGAAGCCGTCTCCATGCTCCCTCGTCACCAGGTGACGAGGAAGCATGGAGCCAGCTTCCTGGCCAATCAGAAAGCCGGGGGGCGAGTCATTACACACCGCCTGACTTCCTTGGGCACAGCAGGAACAACCACCAAGTGGCGAGGGAGCATGGAGCTGGCTTCCTGATTGGCCGGGGACCATGGAGCTGGCTTCCCGGCCAATCAGGGAGGCGGACAGTGTGTAATGACTCGCCATCCGGCTTCCTGATTCCGGAAGTTCCAGTATCGGGATAGGCATCCAGAGCATTTGCACACTCCTTCCTTCTGGAGGATGGCTACTTTTGTTCCCCATGGTCCCTGTGTGTGTTGTAAAGTAGTCACCGCTCCAAGCTTGCTCCTGTCATGGACTACAATTCCATTACAAATTGGTAAACTATATATGAGATTGTAGTCCATCACTGGAGCGAGCTTGGAGCGGTGACTACTATACAACACACACAGGGACCATGGGGAACAAAAGTAGACACCCTCCTGAAGGAAGGACAGTGTCGGCCCCAATTCAGAGATGATTTGAGGATCTACAGCCGAGTGATTGACAAATACGATAAAGTTATGTTAATAGTTAAGGTACTTGAATGCATTTTAAGGTTTAACTCCTGAGTTTAGGGCCACTTTAACCAAAAACTAAAACTGTTACTACACGTGTCTTCACATTGTCTTCAGTGCGCCTTACCCCAAAATAACCCAACTGTACCTCCAAAAAAATTTGTAATAAGCTCATACAGTCTGATCAATATCGGAACCCTGAATTAAAATGTTGGCTTTTTCTAGGACATGCAGTGTGGCTTCAAGTTATGAAAAATTGTTTAAGTTTTTAGGTAACTGATAACCATCTTCAATTTCTTTTGTTCCTCCAGGCTGCTATATGGCAAGCACTGAATCACTACGCATACCGAGATGCTGTATTCTTGGCAGAAAGACTTTATGCAGAAGGTATGTGATTTATTCCTTGTAGGCCGTCGCATACATGGCATCAAGTGGCAGAGCTGATGAGCGTATCCATTCCTGAAGGGACAAGCCTGAATGTTTGTAATTGTTTATTGAGCTGTCTCATTACTCCTATCCTGAGAAGCATTTCTCCTATTTGATATCAATACCAGGCTCTACAGATCCCCCACCTACAGGACTCCTGCAATGGATAACTGCAGCTTGATACCCAGCTGATTATGAATAGATACTATGGCATTGTTCTCACATTGCAGCATTGATGTGTTACCTAATCATAGTATTGACTTTTAAAAAGTATGTTTCATGACCTTTTGATTCCATTATTTGTTAAAGTTACCCTGACCTTGCCTAAAAATGACCAGGGTTGAAGTTTATGAAACTAGGAATCCTGTGGTCCTCACATCTTCCTTGTTAGTCTTTAGATTGATCCCTGTGAATGGCCCCAAAATTAGCCTTTCTCAAAGTTTATTTTAGAGGAACCCTTGATTTAATTTCCAGGTCCTGGGGAAGACCTGCTGAAATGAATTCTTTGGGGGACAGTGGGGAAAAACCTGTTCTATTGGTGGCTACTTACAGTGGTCGTCAGAATGCCACGCTTAGGGTTGATGCTGTCATGCAGCTTGCTAAGCCAGTGGTGTTGGCCCTGGAGCCATGCTGGCACCATCAAATTGAATGTCAGTCAGCCACAGTTTAAGGAACCCAGTCACAGTGGTGGTCAGAATGCCACGCTTATGATTGCTGGTGTCAGTTTGCTAAGCCAAGTGGTGTTGGCCCTGGAACTATGCTGGCACCATCAAATTAAAGGTCAGTTAGCCACAGCTCAAGGAGCCCTTTGTAATCTCTGGAGGAACCCTAGGGTTCTACCTAACCCTGACTCAGAATGTTTGCTCTAGAGCCTAGGCTCAGGATGGGCCTCCAGTTCTGGCCATTTTGAGGTTAGGCCCTGTCCACTTTTGATTCAACTGTACAATGCCATAGACTCTGCTTTCCACTAAAGTATAAATAATGAGGGCGGGGCGCGGCGGCTTCCATAAGGACACCTAAGGCCCCATTCACACTGAGCGATTTATCGAGCGATTTTTGCAGCGATATCGCTCATATTTCCACGCGATATCGCTCTATGTAGCTTCTCCAATCCATTTCAATGGAGCTGTTCACATCTCGTCTCGGCCTCCGGGCTTGTTGTACTGTGGGGGTCTGCCCTCTCCCTGCTATGGGGTCCCGGGTGCACGTACAGTCTGGGTGGTCCCCTCCCATTCCCCTCTCTACGCTGCGGGTATACCTGCTCCCCTTTTCCCGGTTTCCCTTGCCCCCCCTTGGGACCGGGATGGCCGAGTGGTTAAGGCTTTGGACTTAAGATCCAATGGACATATGTCCGTGTGGGTTCGTACCCCACTTCTGGTACCATGGTTCGGGGGGTTTTCAATGAACGGAGAGAAAAGGATTTTACGGTGAGTACAAAAATCCTATTTTTTCGAGCGATATTGCTCCTGATTGCATACAGCCCAATAGGAAAAAGTAGCGCGATGTCACGTGACACGTCGCTCAATATCGCTCGTCGCGCAATATCGCTCAAAATCGCGCGATTTTCATGTCGCTCAGTGTGAATGGGGCCTAAGATTGTGCCTGCACTGTAGCAACATGTTTGCCTTAGTAACATTTTAGACCAAGGAAAATCTGCTTTATTTTGTTATCTTGTGCTACCCCCTTCTTAGGGTAATGATGCTCTTAAGAGATGCAGCTTTATCATATAAAGGTGGCCTTGCATGTGTAATGTCCTGGCTTTCAGGAAAACTATACAGGGGTCTGTGTCACTGGTCCAAAAACAAACTCTGCTTGACCCTCAGAACCCCAGACAACCCCAGAGTTTGCATATGGAAAAAGAAGTCTGCTTTGGCAGTTCTATACTTTTTGCTGATGAATCCCTATTTACTGGTAAGTTTTGGCTAAGCTGAACAAGTACAATAATGGGGCTTCCTGTTGGCTCTCCTACCTAAGAGTTATAGGTCATGCCTACACATCTGTCCACCCTTTAAGTCTGTGTGAGGGATTATAAGGCACTAAAAGAGCTGAAAGGGTTATTGAAAGAAAAAGGTGATTTCATGATATGACTACCACTAGTCATATTACCAATGTCAAGGCATTTGTTGTGTGGTCTCTGCTAATGATGATGGGTAAAGTCTATGGATGTGGAGATTGATTCTGCTGGGATTTAATTCATTGATGTCTGTTTTTGCAGTACATTCAGAAGAAGCGTTGTTTCTACTAGCTACATGTTACTACCGCTCAGGAAAAGCTTACAAGGCTTACCGGCTCCTGAAAACCCACAGCTGTACCACCCCACAGTGTAAATATCTTCTTGCTAAATGCTGCGTGGACCTTAGCAAGTAAGTATGATTTTCTTTAATTGGTTGTACACACAGCAATATTTTAGCCAGATTTTCACCAAACAATAATTGAACTGATACATGGTACCCACTACTGGTGCTTTGCATGTGCAGGAATAAACAGGCTTACTTTAATGACACCCATGTCCCTGCACATACTAAGCTGTCATTTACTTTCCTGCCAATCCATTAAACCATTAGGAACAAAGAAAATTACACTGTTCTTCTTGGTATGGAAAAGTATGTAACTCACTTCATGTTATAGCACTGGTGCTTAGTGACTGGCCCAGTGTTTGTACATTGGGGAGGTCCTCAGCACCTGTGTAATGTCCATTTGGAGCATCTCAGAGCTTACAATGAGGTTGAATTCATGCCCATGCCTTGTAGTACAATTCCATGTGTGTGCTGCATTGGTGTACGTTGCAATAAAATGATCCAGGCATACGTTTTATAGCAAAGCAGCGTCCGACACTTCCGGGAGCTGTTGGTGACTTCAGCATGCCTTACTGCTGCCTCCTGGAAAAGCTAGGACTAAGAAATTGTGATTAGGAAGCCGGGTGGCAAATAATGACCCGGCTTCCTAATTGGCAGAACAGCCTGCTCTTTGCTGATTGGCTGGGAAGTCGGTTTCCCGACCAATCACAATCGAGCCGGGCAATCGGGAAGCCGGGCGGCAGGTCATTACCCACCGCCCCGCATCCTAAATTCCTGGGAAGCCGGCTCCATGCCAGTTGGAAGCACTGGTATCGGTACTCCACATCGGCCAGTACCGAAAGCAAAATATCGGTACTCTTACTCCATACCGTAGAACCGGTATCTGTGCATTCCCTAGTTATTTTAGTTTGGGGTTGGGGAACTAATGAGACTTTAACAGTCAAGCAGACCTTCCATTTTCATGGAAGGTCCACTTTAACCTGCTCTCGAGAACTTTTAATTGGAAAGCTGTCTGACCATGTGGGCATCACATTCTTCTTTCTGGTAATTTTGCATAGTTTGTACTTTTCTCCCCCTGTAAATGCTCCTATCCCTGCTGAATTACTGTAACTGCTTGTGTTGAATATTTTTTCTGTCTTCTTCCTTCTCCCATCAATTTGGGTCCAGTAGTCTTGTTAGCCTCTTCATCTCTGTCTCATCTTCCCTTGCAGGCTGGCAGAGGGTGAACAGATCCTGTCAGGCGGTGTGCTGAATAAACAAAAGAGCCAAGAGGAGATAGTTACAGAGTTCGGAGACTCAGCCTGCTTTACACTGTCACTGCTCGGCCATGTATATTGGTAAGCTGGGACCTTCCTTTTATTGTTGCTTCCTTTTCACTCAGCCAAAGGGATTCCTTATTCAGATAACCACAGGACTGGAAAACATTCCAGAACCTAGCTATGAAATTCTGCACTTGGTTCTTCCCTCTTGGCCTTATTACCTCATGGGCAATGTACCCCTACTGTAAAATGTAGGGTTGTTAACTTTCACAGAGGAGTTCCATGACTCTGTAAATCAGGGGTCTCAAACCTCCAGCCCTCCAGCTGTGGTGGAACTACAAATCCCTTGAGGCATTGCCAGATTCTCACAGCCACAGATATGACTCCCGAAGAGAGATGCATCATGGGATTTGAAGTTGCTCCACAGCTGGAGGGCCGGAGGTTTGAGACCCCTGGTGTAAATGAATGAGCTTGAAAGGTGAGTGCAGTGACACAGGTCACAAAACCCATTGGTGGATCTTAACCAGTTCATCTGTAACACCAGTACACCCCCCATGGACCAGAGCAGTTTTTACATCTCTGCTATGGGCCTGTTTATCCAGCAATCATTTAGTAATTACCTAAGATAGCAAAGTAATACATATATTGTTTTTTAAGCTTTATGTAGGTAATATTGTCTTGCAAAAACCATTTTTTTTTTTTATGCAAAAAATGTATTAAAAAAAACTGATCAGTGTTGGTTTAAAAAAATGTTACTGTGGATAAAAAAAAGTATATATTTTGGGGGTTGTCCTAATTAAAATGACACAAATGATTATTCGGGTACAAAGCATTGCAAAGGTATTTACAAATGATAATTTTTTTTCTTTTTATTTATTTTAAATGTACCGAATGATTAGGGGAATCAAGGGGAAAAAAAGTTTAAATATTAATGGTTATTATAGGAATCAACACTGCATCGGATGGTCTGTTGTTTTGCCAGCAGCAGCATCTGTATTTACACAGCAACTCCGGCCTATCATTTAGACAGCCAGAAATTGTGGGCAAGTGTAAGGGGGAGAAGGACTGGACATACTACACATGTCCTCTGTACTGCGACGAAGATTTTTGGGTGTGGGTAGCATGCCCAAGGTTCACAAAAAGTTAGAGATTTTGTTGTGTCGCTCATAAGGGGAAAGTGACAGTGCATTTAAAATCCACCCCTTGACTCGCTTATATGCACCTTTTCTACACTCAGTCATAGCTGCTTTAAAATGCTTTCTGTAAGCTTCATTTTGCATGGTGTAGGAGCTTACACTGGGTTAATGATGTCATCCCCTCTGTCGGGTCACAGTGTTCTGGCTTGGCCATTCAGACCTGAGAACAACATCACGGAAGGAGGTCACATTCTTTAGTATGCACCAACACATAACACTGCTCAGGTCTACCTGAGAACCACAGGTTGGGAGATATCTGTCCATCCTTAGATGATTTACAGAAGTCTAAAGCAAGCACGCATGCATACTATATATATATTAATGCTTTGTTTTTTACCGTTTTTCCTCTCCAGCAAAACGGATCGTTTGGCCAAAGCATCAGAATGTTACCAAAAGAGCCTTAGTCTAAATCCCTTTCTGTGGTCCCCTTTTGAATCGTTATGTGAAATAGGTAAGCCTTGCACCTATGGACTAAGAAGGATTGTGTTGTGTTTTATTTAATCCATGTTCTTTGATGTTGGTTGCTAAGTACTGTGTGTCTAAATAGTGTCCTTTTTTAATCTGGTAAATATAACATATTACAGTTGAGTATTTTGTAATGAGCATGTAGTGAGGATTGGACAGGCTGCAAACAAAAGTGGCTGCCTTCTCCAGCTCAGTCTACAGTCATGTTATGAAATAGGCCTGAAGGGCGGCGATCAGAACACATTGACCGCAGAGGGAGTCAGGGAGGAGGCACGTACCTCCTACTGCCTTCTTCTACAAGAGCCAGGTGACTTAGGCTTCCAGCAGGTAGTGCTGGGCTTTCTTATTAGAATGTCACCCACGCTGTGCAGTTTGTCATGGGTACACCTTGTCTCAAATGTGTGTTTTAAAAGTGGGATGTTATGGAAAAACAATTGTTGCATTCATTGGTGGGAATTTATCAAAACGGGAGCAGACAGAATCTGTCAATCTAACCAATCAACATCTCTCTTTAGTTTGCTCAGGTAAGATTTGACAATGAGACAGAGAAGCTGATTGGTTGCAGTGCAAATCTGCTCCAGATTGTGTCTCCTCCAGTTTTGATAAATTCCCCCCCATTGTTTTATACATGTAAACGTTTATATTCAAATTTAGCAGGGGAATTATGTTATGAGTTGGTTGACTTGCCTTCACTTTCTCTTTCTAGGTATATCTAAAGCCTAGTTTTGGATGGAGGAGAGAATGGTTAGCATCTAAACTCACGCATAACCTTTAACATGTTAATGTTCTTTTCAAGCTTTTTAAATCTCTAGCATTAAGTAAAATATCTGGAGATCCTGCTGTAAAGGTCCTTGTTAAGGCCCTTCTTTAATGGGGTGACAACTACCTCCAAATTGTGCTCCTGCAGTGCCACCCTGTGCACCATGTTCTTCTGTTGTGAGACTACAAGTGACTGTGCCAACACACATTGCCCAGGCTACAGTTTACATCTGTCAGTTTTTTTTTCCATTTTCACTTCTTGTCCCAAAGGCGCACAAGGTAATGAGGGGAGAGTGACAGCTGTAAAATAGTGCATAATCCCATTGCTTTCTGACGCGGGGACAGTGTTCACCAGGACAAATTAATAGGGAGAATATGCCCATTGGTAAAAAAAAACAGAGGGTTTTGAACACTGCCCGCTGCAGATAAAACAAAATAAAATGTTGGCTTTGGATATATTTTAATGCTTGTGATTTATACTTTCTGCTATGAATAGATTGAAAAATGAATTTAGTTTTTTTTGTATGATGTAGGTGAAAAGCCAGACCCTGAGCAGACCTTCAAACTGACCTCCCTTCAGAACTTCAGTAGCTACCTGAATAACTCTTGCACAGTAATGGTGAACAATCACAATGTCATATCTCACAGGCAACCTGACACAGTATTAATGGAGACTCCCCAAGACACTATAGTAAGTAGGCCAATGGTGTATTATCTGTTGGGAATACTGTTATAAGCAATTATAACACTAGGAATTGCTGTTATGTAATGGGCTCTCCTGGTGAAATTACTTTTGGATTTTGTTTTTTCAATTCTTGATTGGCTGGCATGATGTAACTCCTGCGCATGAGTTACTTCATTTCTGCACAGAACCTTGCCGAGGCTGCGCACTGAGCTGCACATGCACAGGTTAGTGTACACAAATACTAGGGATGCACCGATACTAGGAACTTGATACCGAGTATTTGGGCGAGTACTCGTACTCGCCCAAATGCTCTGATGCTTGGCACCAGTACTTCTGTATCAGGAAGCCGGGTAACGCTTCATTACACGCTGCCCTGTTTCCTGATTAGCCGGGAAGCGGCTCCATGCTCTCTCGTCACTTGTAATGAGAGAGCATGGAGCCGACTTCCCGGCCAATCGGAGCCAGGCAGCGTGTAATGACGCACTGCCTGGCTTCCTGATTGGTCAGGAAGCCTGGCGTCGTGTAAGGCTGCAGCACCCGGCATTCTGATCGGCCGGGAAGCTGGCTTCATGCTCTCATCATCTCGTGACGAGGGAGCATGGAGACAGGCTCCCGGCCAATCAGAAGGCAGGGCGTTGCGTCATTACACAGCGCCTGGCTTCCTGATTGGCCGGCCAGACGGCTCCGGCTGGGTACCGGAGGAAGGCCGCGTTCTGGCTGGAGAGGCCCCGGGGGTGACAGGCTGGACATACCAATGTAAGAGGTGACAGACTTTCTTAATTGGGAAGCCGAGTGGCTAGTCTTTACACGCTTCCCGGCTACTCGGGAAGCCAGGTGGCGAGTCATTACACGCCACCTGGCTTCCTGAGTGGGACTTCAGTTACTCGGTAATTTTGGTATCGGCGAGTACCGAAAAAAATTATCGGTACTCGTCCTCGGTACCAAAATACCAGTATCGCTGCATCCCTAACAAATACAGACAGGCGGGAAGAAGCAATTATGACAGAATACACAATCTCTTCTGTCTTAAACTACCTGCCAATGTTATGAATGAAAAGTGACTGCCACTTTAAGACAGGGGAGGCATGTACGTAGCATGCCCCAGTTTTGTCACCCTGTGCAGTGGTGCCCCTCCTTGCCAGTCAGAGCAGGACATGTAACCATCAGAGGCAGGAGGAGGGTTCCAAGAGGACTCCCTGCATCGCATTCTCATTACGCAAGGTCCTCTTGGATCTCACCTCCCAACTTTGGCAGAGTGAAGACCTTGGCAGACCCTGATGGCTAGAAAGTAACTTTAAACACAATCTCCATTATTTTTATGTATTTTGGCAGGAATTAAATAGATTGAACCTGGAATCCTCCAATATAAAGTACACCTTCAATATGGACTCCACCATGTCCTACATAGACCCAGCAGTGATCTCCCCTGATGCTTTGCCCCTGGGAACCGGTACCTCTATATTATCCAAACAGACTCAGAATAAACCAAAAAGTGGGCGCAGTCTATTGGGAGGTCCGGCAGCACTGAGCCCACTCACACCCAGGTAAGATGATCTTAATTTTGTAATCCTTGGCCTGGTACGTTTGGAATTTCCCTGGCCTTTAGGTGCACCAAAATAAACAAGAAGTCCACCAAAAAGTGATATTCTAGATATAGACAGTCTGGTGGACTGATTCATTTACTGACTTCTTATATTTCTTAGCCACTACTTTGAAGAGATCCTTTGCCATTGTTTCCAGACCTGTTTCTGTCTACATTGGAGCATTTGGTGTTCCCATCCTACATTATATATGAATTAAAAATCCATCCTTGAAGGTAGGGCTATGCAGCGTGCATGTCTGACAATTGAAGTACAAAGATCTTGATGCTAGAGTCCTTCTAGCATCTAGAGGATCCCCCAAAAAGTGAACATGTGCCCAAATCCTGCACATTACAATCTTTTCATATGCTGAACAACCAGTAAAAGCATTTTTAAACAAGCCCTTTTTAATCGCTGTATCTAATAGCAATGTGAAGGAATTCATTGTCAAAATTCATAACACAGGCAGTGAAATCTGAGCTTTTCTACTATGAGAGCAGATTCTGCCATCATTCTAATGTAAACAACCAGCAAGCCAAGACTAAAACTATATTTATTCCAGGCATGTCACTTTCAATTGTGATGGCTCAGTAGTACATGTGGGCATTACTAATGGTGTAGCGCAACATAGAGACCCAATGATGACATCACCATGTGTAATGGAAACACAGTATAAGCAGATTAGACTTCAGCTTTGATGTCCATAGTATGGGCACAGGTGCACGTTTCAAGCTGAGCTCTTGCCAAACATGAAACGCATGTATGTGAACGGTTTTATGTGCTAAAATAATCCTGCTCAGCTATTTCTGCTAGTCACACACATCTGCCACACCTTATATCCAGGTGGGTGCACCGCTTTCTCTTACAGTTTGGAAATACAGTGGTGTCCCCTGGTTGTACTGAAAAGGAGCCGCAGCAACCTGATGAGGTCATCATTGGGCTCAGCCCTCCTGTATACAAGTTCAGCTCAGCAGTGGAGCTTGTCTGGCCCTGCCGGTCCTCCTTCAGTCTTTGTTCAGGGGATTAGGGAAACAAATAATAAAGGCACATTTGGGTACTCTTTCCAGCTATAGGTAAATATGCATTTATTGTGTTGGCTGACTAGTTCTGATCCGTTCTTTTTATGTTTTCTGCCAGTTTTGGAATTTTGCCACTAGAAACACCCAGCCCGGGAGATGGGTCGTACTTACAGACCTACAACTCCTCCTGTGTGCTTGATGTGTCATCCTCTGGTGCCCCTGCTAAGAAGGTTTGTAATTCCTTCAAACATATCTCTGCATTACATATCACATGACCTGAATGATCCAATACTCACTGTGACCCTTCAATGTCCTCTGTCTAGTCTGTGGCCAGAATCAGCCAACCAGGAACAAAGTCAGTGTTCTCGCAGAGTGGCAACAGCCGGGACGTGACCCCAGTGCTGCTACAGACTCAGGGTTCCGGACCTCAGACCAGGTATATAGATATTGCTGTGACGTGGCTTTCTTATTTAGGGAAAAGCCTCTCCAAAGATAAACATGATCCTAGCCTTGAGTTTCCCTAATCTTGGAGGCTCACTACCTTTCTTCCATCCCTGAACACCAACAGACATGGATTGTCCGTTATTGCTAGCACACTTCCATGCTTAAGGCAACTGTGTTTTACCTGAAATATTTAGAAAAGCATGATCATTTTACGTGTTAAATTAAAAAAATCATGAGACTAGTCTTCGCATTAGAGTTTTTGTATGAAAATCCCTTTTTAAGGATGTTTTGTGCCTCTGAAATAAGTTTCCTTATCACGGTTTGCGTGGTGTCCTTTCTGTTGACGCGGACTTGAATTACGGAACTTGGAACATTCCCTGCTTGTTACTTTACAAAGACGATTCTGTTCTTTGTTTTCTTTTTGATTGAAGATATTTTTTTGTTGATGATTAACTACTTTTTTTCTTACACATTCTGCAGCAAAAACATTTACTGAATAAAGTATGCAGAAAAGAAAATCAAAGCTGATGTTTTAATCTGCTAATATTTTCCTTTCATCTCCTCACCAACATGCTAATTACATTTTTAAATCCAACCTTTCCATTTTCCGTACATACCTTATTCATCATCACTTGAAGTGACTCTGTGCTTCTCTATACAATGCAGGCAGAAGTGACAAGCAGGGTGCTGCACATAGCTTCCTGAAATCATCACAGCACCCCGTCTCAGGGCTCCTTTCATGAGCCTTCAGCCCTGAGGCAAGCAGTAGGGCTGGCTCTTGGAAGGAGTTGTGTAAATATAAAAATGCCTTGATGGGTAGCTAACCGTCTGAAAGAGTGGGTGTTCCTAGGCAGTCTGAGCACCCTAGGTAGTCACTGGCTGCCAGGAGCTGAGCAGTAAGCTCTAGCTGGCATCCCGCCCAGCTCTTGGCAACCAGTGATATCAGTGAGCTGCGCAGGACACTGGCCAGAGCTGGGCATGCCATCTCCCACCCCACCCAGGAACGCGATCACCAGCACCCCACCACCTCAGACGGCAATTATGCAAGGAGCACCCTGATGCTGAGCCTCCATGATTTGAAAGCAACATGTTGAAATCCAATACATTGAAATTGAAAAGGGCTAAGGAAAGGAGGTGGACTCGATCTGACTTGCTGCAGCTTCTAATGCACATTGTGAGAAGCTCAGAGTAAGGAATTTTCAGTCCAGGAGAGTAGCTGGTACAACTGACTGAAAGGGAGGCCTGGCATTCAGCTTTAACTGACCACTATAAATCTGAGTGAGCACAGAGTAAAGGAAAATGATATGTAATGAGTGATGGTTAAGAGTATAGAGGAAAGTGTTCACACAGTAACCTTACTTAAATAACTATAACATACAGACTGGGGAAGGGTGTAGCTGGCTAAGTCGAGGGGACTGTAGTAATGGCGCTGATCTGTATGAGACAGGAGAGGGCCTACAGTGGGGTGCTGTGGGGGAACACGTCTGCAGGTTAGGCATAGAGTGGTTTCTAGATCACCGGACTACCTTTATTCCCGAGTAGCTGCTCTATGACCTCTGCTCTTGTTGACCAGACATGGGGGGGCTGTTTGAAACCTATTTTGCTCATAATTACCTTTAGCTAAAAGATGCGAGTCCTCCTTGAGAGCTCAGCTATTAAATATTTTACCTACAGCACCCCCTGCTGGTTTTGCAGCCATGTGCATTGGCTCTGCACCAGCAGATGTTAATCTATTTTGCTGATCAGGTTTGGTGAAATTGGAAAGCTCTAGGCACTCCTTGTCCGAGTTGGAGAAATCTTTCTAACAAAGTCATACTACTGACAACCTGACAGAAGTTCTAGATAAAAAGAAGTGGGTGTACAATGATATTTGTGTATATGGTTTACGTTTTATTGACTAGATTTCTTTTTTCATTTTTGTTTTATTCAGTACTACACCCCAGGTACTGAGCCCAACAATAGCTGCCCCTCCTAATGCTTTACCGCGGCGTAGTTCTCGCCTCTTCACCAGCGACAGCTCTACCACCAAGGTAAGGCACAGGCTACAGTGCTTGACAATCAGTTACTTGCCATACTAAAATGGCATTTAGGCTTTTCAAGAATGTGCTCCTTTTAAAACTGACTTTTTAGATATGGGTGGGCATTGGTGGTCTGTCAGCTTTTCTCAACCTTTTTGCACTCGCTGCACCCTTTAAAAGGCTTAAGGCACCCCAATCTAAAATGTAAAAAACCTAAACAGCATTGTGTGGCCCCTCCAAAATTCATATCAGATCTTTATGCTAGATGGGCCTGGTGTGGCTTTTAAGGGGGGACCTCACGCAATGAATCTATCTCTGAATAGATCCCACCTTCCATGAATTAGCATAATTTGTTTCCATGGTAATAGCGGGCTGGCCTGTCTGCACCATGGTAAGCAGGGGTGTGGAATTCGTATCGCCCGACACCCGGGACATGTAGTTCCGGGCAAGTGCTTTTTACACTGTTTTAGCCCTGCTACGGACAAGTAGCAGGGCTGGTTTATATTTTCTTAAATGAGCGGCGCTGCGAGCGGGGGCGGGGAGCGCCGAGAACGGGGGACGGAGCGTGGAGAGCGCAGGGGCGTGGAGTAGTGACAGGCTCTGTCACCTCCCTCAGCCTCTGTCCTCAGCGGCTGCTGCTCGTTCCTGTCACACAGGAGTTCTAGCAACAGTGCCTGCTAGAACTCCTGTGTTGGAGGTGACAGGTTGAATAAAGTGTACCTGTCACCTCCAAATGCTATCACACAGGGGATTTGTTAACCCCTGTGTAATAGCAATACAGTTAAGTTTAAAAAATAAATAGTTAAAAAAAAGTAATAAGTATTAAAAACGTAACTAAATAAAAATGTAAAAAATAAAAAGGCGATAACGTAAAAATAATAAAACAAATGAAACATTTTTCCAAAGTAAATAAAAATTGAAAAAATGAAAACCAGCCGCGCTGCCCCCATCTGCACGCAAATAAATGCGCAGTGTTTTCAACTGCGATCGTGTGCAACCGCACGGGCAGGGCTGTATTGCAGCAGGAAAATGCTCAATCTGCCTGGCAAGACCATTAGAAAATAATGGCACTGACAGCACAATCAGCAGTGGTGTGTGATCCGTGACTGCCCGGTCATCGTGCGCGAAATCGAGCAGATGGCTGGGTGGTCACGGAATCTCACCACCGATCGTGCTGTCAGTGCCCTTATTTTCTAATGGCACCCCAGTCGTGCCAGGCAGATTGCGCGTTTACCTGTTGCAATACCGCCCGGGCGATCACGGTTGAAAACACTGTGCGGTGCATGTCGTGAAAATAGGTACATCTACCTTTTTTTCAGCGATTGCCAGATGTAACCCCATACATGTGGATGCAACCGCTGTATGCAACCACACACGATCGCACGTCCCGGGATTGCCCAAGTCTGCACCAGCCCTAAAAGGGTAAATTCACTTTCCCAAGTAATTTGGGAAAATGGAATTACCCGCACAAATCTCCCTCCCACTATACTTACCTTTCGGCAAACGGTCCTTCCCGTCCACCAGTACGGGTGTACTATCTGTACCTGTTCCATGTATTCTGAATTTCGCTCGCAAATAGCAAGCACTCGTTTGTCAACGCTGTCACCTGACGGCACTGACCAATGAGAAGCACTTCTTAGCACTGCTAAATACGGTTTTGGTTAAAATTATTTTTTTTGTATCAGGACAAGTAGATTGTCATGAGGGACAAGTAGATTCGGCCCCCACTTTAGTCCTTGGACAAGTAGTTTTTTCCAAAATTTCCACACCCCTGGTAAGGCATGGTTCTGTGCGAAAAAATTGAGGAACCCCTGAGGAAGACCGAAGGCACCCCAGGGTGCCACAGCACCTTGCTTTACAAAGGCTGGTCTAAGTTATTCAATTGCACCTTATATTGCCTGTATATAAAGAGTTCTGAGGCTTTCCCCTTGGACAAATTCAGCAGCAGACATGCTGGGTGAGCAGGCCCATAGAGCCTGGTGCAGAGCTGTCCCAGGGATTTGAAAGGTATTCTGATGTTTGTGTGCACCTTATGTCAATGCTGTTTGTAATTTTTGATACCCCCACTATCTGGGGATTAGTGCATATTCCTAGTTGGTACCTCATCGTTGCGATTATACTATTTTGTAAGACTTCATATACCTATATTGAAAGAAAACAGTATTCAGATTCCACCCACTGATATCTGCCCAGCACTGAATTGTCAAGTTTGTTGAATGACCCTTAATATAATCACTGTTTGCAAGGTGAACTGTTATGACCCTTTACATAAACTCAACCCTTGTATGTTTTGCTGCTATTTCAGGAGAACAGTAAAAAGCTGAAAATGAAATTTCCTCCCAAAATCCCAAATCGGAAAACCAAAAGCAAAACCAACAAAAGTGGTGTCACACAAGCCAATCTAAACGAGAGTTTGGAAATCAGCAAACTAGATTCCTCCATTATTTCAGAGGGAAAGATCGCCAATGTGGGGCCTCAAATTCAGGCCTTGTCAATACAGAAGGCAGCAGCAGGTAATATGTCTTCCATTTTGCAGTGTTGTGTATTCTCAAGGGGGTAATACTTCTGAAACAGGAATCTAGAGAGTTGTGTGTACACGTACACACAATGATGAGCATATGGTGAGGATTATGGGATGAATTAAAGAGACCTGAGAAGTAAAGAGGGATCTCTTATATCGAGAATAGAAGAGAGGGACCTGGGGTGTATCTAGAATGTGAGAGAGGCCTAATGCATTAAGAATGGAATAGAAGCATGTAAAGTAGAGGGATACTTGGGCTATCTAGAATGGAAGAGTGGCCCTTGAAGTAGACTAGGATCTGGGGTGTATCTAAATTGAACAGAGGTCTATTGTAGAGAGGGACCTGGGGTGTATCTAGATTGGAGGAAAGGTCCATGAAGTAGAGAGGGACCTGGTGTATATCTAGATTGGAGGAAAGGTCCATGAAGTATAGAGGGGCATGAGGTATCTAGAAGAAAAAAGATGCCTTTAAAGTAAGGAGGGACCTGGAGTACATCTAATTGAAGAGAAGCATGTGAACTAGAGAGGGACCTCGGGTATGTCTAATTTGAAGAGATGCCTATGAAGCAGAGAGGGACCTGAGGTATATCTAGAATGAAGGAAAGGTCCATTAGGTAGATAAGGACCTGGAATATATTCAGAATGGAGAGAAGTGACGCCTTGGAAGTAGATAAGTCTACAGTAGGAAAAGGTAATGTGGGGTGGTTATGGAGGCTACAGCAGTGGTAATCCACCAAATATTTTGAGCACTAGAAAGCTGAAATTGCCCCTGGAGCTCAACTGCTGAAATGATTTTTTGTTCCAGCAGGTTAGTGTACCATTCAACACAGCCTGATCTAGGGATATAGTGTTAGAAACAGTTATGTTGTACATTTGGTTGGTAAAAGATAATGCAGATAATTCTGCTGAATTCGGTAACATAGTTCGGTTAAAGCTAAATGCTCACTTTTTCTTCTTCCCAGAAGGTTTAATGAGCCTATTGAGGGACATGGGAAAAGGTTATTTGGCCTTGTGTTCCTATAATTGTAAAGAGGCCATCAATATCTTGAGCCACCTCCCCTCTCATCACTACAACACTGGTTGGGTTCTGTGTCAGATTGGCAGAGCATATTTTGAGATGGCAGAGTATTTGCAGGTAAGGAACAAGACCTCTTATTTCACATGTATTGAGAATGTTGTATGATTTGATCTACATGCTGCAGGCAACTTTGAATGTGGAATTTGTACAAATTGTCAAATGTACTTTACACCCAATGTGCAAGTCTTTCCAGTTGGGATGCACCGATACCGACTATTTGGGCGAGTACCCCTATGGGTGCCTATCCCGATACCGGAACTTCCGATATCAGGAAGCCGGGCGGCGGAGAGTCATTACATGCTGCTCAGCTGCCTGATTAGCCGGAAAGCCGGCTCCATGCTCCCTCGTCAACGGGGTCCTGTTGTCATTACGGCGAGTCATTACACGCTGCCTGACTTCCTTAATGGGACTTCCGGTATTCCGTATTGGCAAGTACCGGGGGAAAAAAAATATCGGTACTCGGTACCGAAAAATACGGTATTGGTGCATCCCTACTTTCCAGCTTTATGCTAGCAGTCCACGAAATAAAGATTTACCTAAATTAATATGAAATTTGAATCAACTACTTAATTGAAGGGTACATATACTTTTATTGCGCCTATACTCTTCTGATTCCCCCCCAGCATTTGTAACAGACGCTACATTTGCTACAACCCCACTCCTCTGACAACTTTACTGTGTGGCTGCCTCAAACTCTCTGGTTTAATGGATCTACTTTTTTTTTTTTTCTTGCAGGCAGAACGTGTGTTCTCAGAAGTGCGCAGGATTGAAAGCTATCGAGTCGAAGGCATGGAGATCTACTCAACCACACTCTGGCATCTTCAGAAGGATGTTGCACTGTCAGTGCTCTCAAAAGACCTCACTGACATGGACAAAAACTCCCCGGAGGTACAGGCATTGTAAGGGGCTGTAGTCAATCATAAACAGGCAGGTCTCTCTTGGGGGGTATCACTATCCACTTTCTGCTGGACTTTAATAGCATATTATACAGACCAAAAGGGAGCACATAAGGAGTTCATGGTTTTCTTTGAATACACTTTCAGTTCTCTCATCTCTCTATACACTTGCCTATTTTGATGTGTTTAGTACCTGTGCTGTCTAGTATATATGGCCAAAGTTATTCTGTAGGTGCTGAAGGCAATGTCTCTATACAGAGGGTACTATAAGAAGATGAGATTACAGCATTAGACCGTAATTAAGAATTTGTGTATTTTCAGGCTTGGTGTGCTGCTGGGAACTGCTTTAGTCTGCAGAGAGAACATGACATTGCCATTAAGTTCTTCCAGCGGGCTATTCAGGTGGATCCTGGTTATGCGTATGCCTTCACTCTCCTCGGCCATGAATTTGTTCTAACAGAGGAGCTAGATAAAGCCCTTGCTTGCTTCCGAAATGCCATTCGCGTCAACCCTAGACACTACAACGCATGGTGAGTGACATTGGAAAGGGTACACTTTTTTCTTTCCTAATGAGCCCGTTTCATTTCTTTGCTTTGGAAGGATCATCCTGGCCTATGTATATGTACTGAGTGTGCTTTTCTGTGTTTTATGTTCCGTTATTCCACATTCTAACATATGCTGTTGCAGGTATGGTCTTGGAATGATATATTATAAGCAGGAGAAGTTCAGTCTGGCAGAGATGCATTTCCAGAAAGCACTAGATATCAACCCTCAAAGTTCAGTATTGCTCTGTCACATAGGAGTGGTGAGTATTCTGTCGTCTTGCATAGTTGGAGCATTACCCTGTCTTATGGCAGTCGCCTCTTCTGTTATCCATTAGACTTTAGCCTTCCTGTCCATAGGGTAAAAACACTAAGTTTCAGCTTAGTGCCATAGCAAATTATAGTTTTTCAAATGGATTGTCTAGAGCTGGCTTTCAATCAGAGCAGACTCAAGAGCTTGGTCACACGTGGAAATTGTCAGTCCATTTTAACCACTTTTGAGCTAATAATTCATAATTGAGGACACAGTAAACATACTCTGTCCTCAATCATGTACAAACACTCAGCGATCACTGAGTGTTTGTACCTTCTCCTTCCTGACAGCTATCACAGGAGGCTAAGCGACTGGAGCAGGGAGGAGAGCTCAGCCTCCTGTGACAGCGGGGGCTGTCTTTGCCCACACACTGCTTTGCCAATCTGTGACAGCAGGCTGAGCTGGGCGAGGGCACAGAAGCTGGCCACTCTCAGCGCTCGGCCGGCTGTCACACTTTCGCTCCTCCCCACTGGGACACAGAGCAGCGCCCAGCGGGGAGGAAAGAAACCAGGGATGCGGCATTTAGCCAAAAGTGCCATTTTCGGCCGATTTATATCAGTGCATCCCCAATAACAAAGCTACTGTTTATTGGAAATCCATCGAACACTCGCACACACATAGAAGGTTAAAAAAAAATAATCAGGACCTGTGCAGGCTTTGCTCTTTAGCATGCCAAAGCTGAAAAGTGCTGGCGTAAGGAAAAGAAGCCCATCTACTGTGATTCAATATGTATTTCTCTGTTCTGAGTAAACTGTGCTGCCATATTGGATTTAGGAACATGTGCTTCATTTTTAAACATTGTCACTAAAACCAGATTTCCTTTTTTATATAACCCCACCAAAAGGACTGTCCGGAAATGGCTTAACGGGGTGTTTCTTCTATTAACAGGTTCAGCACGCACTTAAAAAATCAGATAAGGCTTTGGATACGCTTAACAAAGCCATTTCAATCGACCCCAAAAACCCGCTATGCAAGTTCCACAGAGCCTCCATCTTGTTTGCCAATGAGAAATATAAGGTACGGCACTGATCTTTTATGGTGGATAATGTGTTCCTGGTGCTTATATTGTTGCATTGGTTTTATATATATATTTTATATTGTAGTCTGCACTGCAGGAGTTGGAGGAGTTGAAACAGATTGTCCCTAAAGAATCCCTAGTTTACTTTTTGATAGGAAAGGTAAGTGAACATGTACATTATACAGAATGTATACTTTTTCACTTGTAGAAACAATTATTATGGTCATCCCTGAACCTGTGACATTACTACTGTATTTCAGGCTTGTATAATTAAGGTGTCGTAACCCACAAATGTATGACTTATCTGACCTGACTTCAGTAAACTGAATTATGATTGGTTCTGCACTTTTCTAATAGCACCTGTGCTCTGTATTTATAAGTTGAAGTATAACTCCTTTCAAAACTTTGTTGCAGCCTGTGTCCCATTGTGGAGATTTCCCCTTACTTCCTTCCTGCGGACTAGATGGGAAGTTATAGGAAATCTTCTCAGTCAGGGAAATACCCCAATCGGTCATGGCAGTTGCGGCGGGGCATTCAACGCCCCTTTGTGACGTATAGCTGTAGAGCGGGGAATGCGCATCCCAGCAAATGATTGGGAGGACAGGGTGGCAGTCATTTTTGCGCAGGCATGGGTGAACTGGGTTTACACCAAGCCCAGCCTCGTCACTGGGACATAAAGCAAAGGTGAGTCTCCGCGACTGGAATAAAAACCTTAGAAAGGAATCATGGCACACTCACAAGCCAGCATGTAAAACAACTTGTCTCACCACTAAGGACAATGACAGAGGTTTGGATACACGTCTTCTGTTTTGCTTGGAATAAAAACCTGACGGGCACTCTGCTTTATATTCCTGTGTCTGAATAATATAATGTTGACCATTCTTGTGTTAGTGGCAGCAGGGATTAAAGAACACTGGTTGTGCTATGTGCACTTTGTGTTGCCTCCTCTTTGAGTGTATGTATAAAGTCACTCGCACTCCAATAGAATTTCAAGTCAAAAACGGTTTATTGACTCGGTTGCTATCGCATCATATAGTGACGTTTCGGAACAACAGCAGTTCCTTTAGGCAAACAGGATTGCAGAGGCATCTGCAGTCACTTTGGCACCCACCCGACTGTAAGGGTATTATTCGGTCAGGATTGCGATGGGTACACTGGATTTTGGTCTCCTCCTTTGAGTTCACATTTTCTGATCCAGAAGCAGTCATAGCAATGTATCGTTCAAGAGCTTGTCATTGTAGGAGATGGGCACCTTCGCCTCCATTAGCAGCAGTAGTCAGTCTTCGGACAGCCATTGTTCTTCAGGTGCATTGTCTACCTGGCACCTGTAGTATGTCTACTCCTGTTGTGAAACTTTCCAAGAAAATGTAAGACTTGGATATCTGTTGATTGCAAAGTCCAACATTTTTAAGTCTATTGTTACCTCCTACATGACAATGTCCTCCTTGGTCACCAAGTTAAGCTTTTCAGCAAGCATGACCAGTTGCTACAATCTGAATCTGATTTTCAGCCTCCTCACCACTGACACTTATAAGTCCTTTTCCCCTGTAGGTAGGGTGCCTGTAAGTATGATCAAAAAGGACTAGTGTCTTCAAGGTTCTCCATATTAGTCACTTGGGTTACCGAATATACGGAAGCCTGCCCTGATGCACTGGTGTCTTCAATTCATATCATTCATCTCTTATCCCTATTCCCGTTAGGTGTACAAGAAGCTGGGTCAGACGCATCTGGCCCTGATGAACTTTTCTTGGGCCATGGACCTGGATCCCAAAGGAGCCAACAACCAGATCAAAGAGGCCATAGACAAGCGCTACCTGCCAGATGATGAGGAAGCTGTGACTCAAGAAGAACAAATCAGTGAGGGCTACCCTTATGAAACGGGTGAGAAACCTCTATGGTAATCACCGAAAAGCTGCAGACTGCTGGAGGCAGGGTCACTGTGTGTAGAGAGAGTTCAAGAAACTTTTGGACGATTTCTTAAGGGACCGTAATATACAGGGGTACAGGTAATATACAGGGGTACGGGTACTCCTAGAATGAGATCCTAATAGGTTGGACTTGATGGACTAATGTCTTTATTCAACCTCAAATACTATGTACCCTAATTGTGTGTGTGTGTGTGTGTGTGTGTGTCATTGCAACCAGGATTCATGATTTGCATGTTATAATAGTGATCCGCAATTTGTCTATCACGGTCTCAGTTTGCTGCAAATGATTGATCAATTATTCCAGCTCTAATGAGCTGCATTATAAATGTGGAACGTCACAAGCTAAAGGATGAATCTGACAGAGGGCGGTCCATTATTCTATTATTTGCAGCAGTTATCAGTGGCCTGCAGAGGGAGCCAAGCTGAAAGCTAATTAGCATTTTCTGTTTTTATCTTGATGGCCAGGCTATTTGAAGAAAGGCATGTAGGGCTCTGATATCCTTTCTGTAAGAGCGCGCTGACAGTTTTCTCACATCTGATTCGGTCAGCTTGAACAGAATGATTAACAGACATTTCTTTTTTTGTTTGTCAAGTGGGGACGGATGAATCGCAAGAAAGCAGCATGACAGATGCAGATGACACACAGTTGCACGCGGCTGAGAGTGACGAATTTTAACGCGCCCCTCGCTCCCCACCGGACATGTGGCGCTGGGGTGTCTGACTGTTATTTTACTCCACACTCCCAGCCTCTCACCCTTGCCTTCTCAGATGCCTGTCGCAGGCCGGCACTTTGTATCATCATCATGATCATCATCATTGCCTCTTGACATCATTATCAGCCATTCATCTTCCCCTCTTCCTTCTGATTTTAAAGTCCTGCAGAAAATTAAAGACTGTGCAATATGTGGGTCGCACTCGGTTGG